GTTGTGTAAGTGTCATCAAGCCAAAGAACTGGGGCCCCGTCCGATCGATTGAAGCAAAGTGGACTACTTTTGATGAATCATCACAAACTGTTCACATCTTGTTGCATAAGATCAGTTGATTGGATTGACCAAAATGCTTTGTCTATTCCGGTAGGTCCGTGTAAATCAATCCAGGGGGAATAGTTGTCACGTCTTGGCCACGGCAGAAGTAATGAATATTCGCATCCACAGCACGTTTGTGCAATCACTTTGCCTTCAATCGTTTTTCACTCACTGTATTAGGACTCGTCCATTCCAGTAATCAGTAAATTCGTTCCTATAAACTAAATCGAAAACTGGAGACTTTATCTTGATTCCATGTTTGTTTGATTTTGGGAACGCAGTTGAACCCTCGCTCCGATATATACATTGTAATATATTATCCTCATAAGATGAGTCACTAAACATAAATCTGGGTAGAATTTCCTCTAGCTTTTTTTGTCCTAATTAGTGATTCCTTCAGTTTTCAGAATGAAAGCCTTTAAAATATAGTATACTTTCGCTTTTTGAGGGTTATGACAGTTTAGATATTTGAATAAGTATGACATGTTTAATGGATAACGTATGAAACTAGGTCATCACAAATAAAACTTTGTTCCCGTTACTACCGCTTTGAGTACATTTTTGATGCACACTGTTTTCTGAGGGGAATATTCAATTTGTGCAATTCAATTCAAATGCAATTATGTGCTTAATTGATTAAACTGGAAAAAACAATACAACAGCCGATCATACCGAAAAGATATCACAATGAGGATAATTTTATTTCTTCAATTGACCGGGTTGAAATCCCATGAAAAGTCTGAACAGACTTATCGAATTGTGCAATCACTTGCCATGTCTTTACCCACAGTGAGGAAACCGCAATTATCACAAATCAAATGTATCTGCCTGTTTTCCGAAATGTTTAGGAACAATTCATCAAAGGATAGAGTAATCGAAAACATTATTTATTCACACATCAATGTTAAGATGCAAAATAAAAGTAGCTACTTACTTCGTTTTTAATGCGTCTTAAAGAAAAAAATGAAAAAGTTTTGCCTTCAATGGGAAAGACAGCTTTACGCTTCAATACCTTTTCAACTAGGCCACTCAATGAAGCAACCGCCGTCCACGGTGAATTCATCTGAAAATTTTGTAGACATAAATTACCACCCATTTAAATAGGGATGAATTTACTACAAGCAAAATTAATACATTTAAAACGAAGCCAAGAATTATTTTGATCACATTTCTTGATTAGGTTCTCTGAAGACACATTTTGAAGACAATAGACAGCAAGCACGGTTAATTAAATCCACTTACATACACATTTTATCCTCAGTAAATATCATTAACCCAATCGGAGGCACGTTAGTCAATTTCAGGTCATTGAGTATGCGTCTTTCTTCTCTTTTGTGTTTTTCTAAACCCCTAACTGACTTTGACCGGTTGCGTCAGTTGTCAACTAACGAAGCTTAAGGCGTTTACATATGGGTACGGAGAAGAACGTATACGTGGTTAGATAAATCTCTTTTGATGTTATCACAGGAATTGTCCCATTTGCCGATACTAAATCGCTGAACTACTTCAACTTCAACTTCTTCGTTTCACAGGTTACGCTTTCCTCTGTCTCATGGACATCGTTCCGATCAAAAACGACAAAGATCAAGTCGTTTTATTTCTGGTCTCTCACAAAGATATCACCCACGAGCGTCAAAAGAAAGGTAAGTTTGAACTATCTTTTCACTTAACAGCCAATTTTGAGGCATACAACATGATTGGATACCAATCGCATTAGATGCACGTGACCCAGAGCATGGCGGTAGATTGATGCCACTCGGATTTCTCAGGCTAGGCTGTATGCACCGAGGATGACCGAAGAAGGATAAGATTAGGGATTCACTTGACTCCAGTTATCCGTGAGGCGACAAAGATTATGACACCCTTCTAATGGTCATAAAAATACTTCGCCCACGGGGAAAATATAACCTCACTCGGCCGCTTGTTTCCATAATTGAACTATAGGCTACCGTAAAAGGAAAATACGGAGTTTGTCACCGGTAACCTTGGGTGTAAGTCATCAGGACATGTGAGAATTTTGAAAACATAAACCCCTTTTCAGCATTTAATTTAAGATGACGTGTAGAAAATCAATGAAATTCATTGAAAAAGGTGAGTTCAAGTGGACTAATGAATCAATGTGCTAATGACCAAAAGATATTACATATGTTGTGAATGTTTCACGTGTAACGGTGCCAAACTGTTTGCTCATATCTATGAAATGTGCACAGGTTTCAAACGGTGTCTTGTTTGCTCGCTGGAAGTAAACAGTCGGTACGCTGCTAACGTTGCCTGTCCATACAATCAATCCATTTCGGTGTAACGGTTTATACCGTTCGTCAAAACAGCCCCAATGTTCGTCCGTACACTCCAGTTTAGTCGTTGAGACAATCCCGTTATCTGAAAAGGCTGACTGACCACCGGATGGGAACAGGCGTACGGAGATTAACAACTGTTTCAGTCATTCATCCACTAACCTCTAGACCTGGTATCAATTTTTGTGTTTGCCTGTAGTTCTTATTTGGGTCAGAGGTCAAGCTATCTGATGCGAGTTGATGAAAGCGTAGGAGAGATGTATCGCGTTTCCCACCACCAAATTGGAACACTGCGGTTATCAAACGGGGATGCGTCCGGTGTGTAACTAATTTGCAGTCAGGCCACCGTTATGCACCGTGGTCGTGAATGAGATAGAAAATAACAGAATAGGTCACCTTTCCTTTGGTGTGTTTTATACGTAGGAGACAATCGGGCCTTCTCTGTTGCGGCGATCGTCCTGTTATAGTTGACAGCTACCTCACAGTAAGGCAATCTGCAAGCACAGGTAAAAAAATAGCCCATAACTATAGATGAAACCACTGCACGAAAATTGTCTTTGCTTGTTGACACGCATGAGAAATCAACTATATTGAAAGTGATTTCCACAGTGTGTGTGTGTGCGTGCGGAATCAAATACTTTCTAAGCCGCGGCCAAAACAAGGCTGTCTGACGAAAATGCAGACATCAGGTGGATCAAGGTTAACGGAGGGATTCGAACCCCCGGCGTCCGCGTTGCTTTTGCGATGACTTTAATCTCTTAAATATTGAAAACCTCTTCCTATGGGACATCTTGAACAAACATTTAGATTTCCATTCTTTTTACAGATGCGTTTCATGCAGGTAATTTCATTGGCGAAAACGGGGTTGAGATATACGCTTATCTTGTAAAATACGTGATTAGCAAAACCATGTTCACACAAGCCACTGGAAACGCCTGCTGGTGTTATTTAGGGCACTACTCCGCCGAACCGTCAATGACAAAATTCAGGTAGTTTTTCGTTAATTCGTTCGGGTTTCACGTCGTCAATTTACCGTGATTTAGCATTACTTCTTAAAAAGTTCAAACACGATTCTTAACCTTGGGCTATTGCAGGCTAGTCAATGTTCGTAATCGGGAAATGTTGAGCGTGTCAACTGTGCCATCTGGGTGAACCTGAAGTCCTTCTGCTTTAACAATTGTATACTGACGAGATACTGTCCACGAGCAGAGCCCTCGTAAAGCATGCTGTTTGCTACCTTTTCTAGGTACCCATCATAACAGATGAGCTGAAATAAATGGTACCTTATGACTGACCATAAGCCTCGGAGTAGAAATAATTCACATGACTGTGTGCTCAGGAAAATAAATATATAAATGATGTTACACTAAAAATTTCAGCTAATTTAAAACTAAATCATTGGTAGAGTTTATCCATAAATAAACTAAACTTTATCAGCGCTTGAACACACACTTGTACGATGCGTGTGCATATTGGGTGTGCAAAAGAGTACACATATCCGTTTCATTCAGTATCGGGAACATGACCATCTCTTTACTGGGGCCCTCGGAACTGGTCTTTATCCATAGTACGCAGGTATATGCACCGGAGGTCATTTAAACGTGTGCACCACACATACATAACGCAAAAATGCCCAAACTTAACGAATGTGATCGTGAGTATGCATGTGGAAATCTGGATGGCAGCGGGCCGGAATTGAGCAAAAACGTGTTAAACTGTTCACTGACTCAGTGTAATGATTGCGATAACTTTTCCGCATTCAATCCAGAGGAGACAGCAGGGGATATGGGGCGGAGTTGGGGGGACAGCGTTGTATCTGTTTTTGTTGGTTTGATTGAAACCACAATCCGCCATGCAAGAGAAACCCCGGTTTGTGGTTGATGGTTTGCGCACGATGAGTCGGCGCAGTTAAACGAAAATGAAATTAAGTTACAAGTGAAGTCAAATCAAGGAATCGCTTTATACATCCCAAGGGGTAGTTATTTAGCAACCACATAGCCACAGTGTGTCAATAAAAATAAAGAAGGAGAACATAAAACTTTTAAAACAACAACATTGGGATGAACAAACTCTTTTTCAGTTATTCATAATCATGCCATTACATAACATTAAATATTACTAACAACAAGCTCAAACAGGGACAGAGAGATTCAAGTCCTAACGGTTCAGCTCTGATGCCAATCATGTGTGCCTTTTCGTTGTTTGAAATTGTTCAGTGTCAAAGTACAAGTGATTGCACACGTGCGGGGGCGAATGAAGTGGGCCGAGGGAGGTTAACTACTTGCACGAATGTCTCCCGGGCGCACGAGGGGAGTTGTGAATCCGAATGCTCACGGCTTCTGCCGTGGCTTCACTGTTATTGATTGATCGATATGGGCAACATATAACATTCTATAGTCCGGTATCTAGCCTTCAGAGCCCGGAAGATTTGTTCAGCAGACGCACTGGATGAAGAACTACACCTCATCCGCCAAACCCTGAAGGACAATGGTTATCCGGAAAAGTTCATCGATAAGAACATTTGGCTCACTGCGAAGAAGGAAAACTCTATCTGTGTCCCCGAGAAAGAACTATTCATAAGAAACCCATTTAAGAGGGACTCGCACACCGAGAGTCTAGCACAATCGCTGGAAGCGACTGTAAATTCCACTTTTCCCAAAGCCAAACTTAGACTAGTGTTCTCTACGTTGCCGGCGATGCAAACATAATTGAAAGACAAACTGCCGAAACTGATCTAATGAATCACATGATCTCATGAAACTGATCTCCCATGATAATTTACTTTGTGACGCATGTTATATAGGTCGTACGGTAAGGCATTTGTCTCAACGCGTCAAGGAGCACCACCCGCGATAGTCAAGTCAGGGAAAAACCGGCTGTATCACAAGCGCGATCGTGGGACATCTCGGGGACACCGGGCACAAGATCCCACCGGAGAAAGCTTTCCATGTGGTTTATCGCATTCCACTCAATAAATCGAGGGCGGTCGGAGTTTGGATACTAGATTTAACCGAAGCTATCGCCATTCGCTTACTACGCCCCAACCTGTGTGCCCAAAACGAGTAGTGCAGGCGCTCCAATTGCCTTGGCCGGGTGTGGAAACCAAGACAGAACATGACGTGTCAACTGAAACAAGTTGGGAAAAGCCACATCAACTAAGACGTGAAACATTCCTACACACACATATACACTTCCATTATTTTCTGCCTCCGATTATTGATCTTAAATTGAACCGAGCTCTATCATTACGTAAGAATGTTTCCGCTAAGTGATCTGCAAGAACATCATTAGGAATATACGAAAACAATTGTTCCCTCACCGACTCATATTGAAATATCTCCAAAACTATAGTTTCTTAAAAACCATGCCGATGAAAACTTTCATAAAGGAAGAAGAATTACAATTCATATCTTTGACCTACATTAGACGTTATATTCCATTTTTTAGAGTAATCAACCAGAACCATTGACAGTACAAGGAAATAGAGCGTTATTCGTGCATATGTCCACCTAAAGCTCCGATCATGTTAGAAATGTTACTATTCTCTCTGATGTCTTCTTAAATAAGCGAGCATTTTTTGAATTTTTCAATGTTTTTGATACATTTTTTTACTTTCAAAGAAGAAAATCGTCGTGTAAAGAAGAAATGAGGTGTGATCTGAAGAACCATACAGCTTTTTCGATCTGGTTGGGTCTCATTAGCAATTCATCGGCCCAACTGGGGATAGCATGGGATAAGCATGCTGTGTTCCTTTTTTGAGGCCCCGGGTTCGATCCCCAGTGAGGTCGATAAATTTGCTCACTGATGATGAAACCCAACCAGGTTAGAACGTCTGTAAATTATTAACTTCATAGCTTTTTAGTTCACGCTTCATTTGCTCTACACACGACGCATCCCCTGTTTGAAATGGAATCAAATTCTCCATTACTCAAATGTAATTCTTAACTTGTCATTAAGACAATCCTAAGGACAAACGATAAAGACTGAGCTGGTAGAAACCTCCTGAAAAGGGTTAGATAGGCATCGTACATAATCAAGAAGAGTGATCAAAGCCATTTATGTTTCTCAACCTCCTGCGACCTTTCGTGAAACACAGGTCATATAGATTGTCGAAAGAGTTCTAGACAGTCATTGGTCTTAGATTTAGTTACAAATGCAGAAAAACATCTTAGGATCTACAATTATTTTCCCAAATTCATCTCCATTTATGCACGGTACGGTTGCATAAAACAACTTGCAATGCCTCCCACAATAACTGTTTGCATCTGTCCAAAATCTTGCCCCATTTCATTAGCAGAGGAGGCTTCGTGAGCATCATGCGTCTTGGTTGCACCAACCGGGTTAAAAAAAGTCAAATGCCAGTATAATCTGTTCGCACCTAGTTGAGTTAGGTCACTTACTTGACCTGACCAAGGCGTTTAACCCCCCACTCCACTCCTCTCCTACCAGGTTTGGGAATAACGATCAAATTAAATTAAACATCGCATCTCGACCAAATCTAAAACAGTGGCGATTCACATTCACAATACACCCAATATCCCCAAAAAGGAAACAATTTTTGAAGTCGTTGTGTCATTCTGAGGCTCTGCACCCACCTCATTTCCACTGACCCATCCCATTCTTTGTCGAATACGAAACTAGACGGTAATAGCCTGAACAGTAAACACTATGGACAATTTTCTCAACTTTATTTATTTTTTTATTTTGTGTATATTACCCCAGCCCAACTGTTTTCCTATCCTAATTTTATAAATTGTGATATATTGATCAAGCTGTGTTCCCTACTTTGTGTTCTATTCAAGATGTTTGTTAGTTATTAGCCGAATGAGACCATATACAACAAATGTCCCGCACGTCTTTCCCAAACTGCGCAACTATTTACCAACAAATCAATGATGGAGTCCTGTCTCAGGATATTATATCAATTTTGAAACTTTCCCTGTTATGTAACTGTAGTATACCCGAGAAGAAGCACATTTGATCCGGACAAACAATAAATCACAAGAGACAGAGAAATCAACGAAACGTGGACATGCCTGGGCAAAATCGACGCTTCGTATGAGTGCCTAAGAAACTGTGAATGGTGCAATGCGAACAATGTATTTAATTATTTCGCTAATTAATTCCCATCAGGCTAGTAGCTTAGTGAAGTCAAACGAAATCGATTTTCACTGAATGCGTCAGATCTTTGCATGGTTTACTATGTCAGGTGGTTACATTCTCGGAGAATCCTGTCAGAAGATTCATCCATTATAAAGGTGCCAGCTATCGAACAGATACTTGGAGATTTATCTGTAAAAACCTTGAAAAAATAGGGTTTATTTAGGATTTAATATTAGATTAATCCATGTTTTTTATAATGAAAACAAAAAACAGTCTGAAAAGATGCATTTCATATTAATCTTTCAAACCCCTCTCATCAGGCCCTTCTTGCTCAAATGTATCAGCGCACAATTGTCCCCACAAAATATTCCGAAATCATGCAACCAAAGTTGGACATCCAACAACTCCCGGTCTGACTAAGCCAAGCAGTTTCCTTAGCGCCGGTTTAGCGACCACTATCACTGCAGCAGCGCTGGGGACCACTGCGTTTCGTAAAAACAAGTTGTTGGATTATTTGCACGCAAACCAAATACAAATTGCACAAGTCTGTCCCCCCAGACCCATTCCCGTGCGCTGTCCGGCATCACCTATTCACACAGACGACCCAAATGAGAATCATCTGCCCACGCGAGTATCAAGACGATCTCATCCGCGGTCCTCGTTGAGTAAAACGGATGATAGTGTTCCCCTGACCGGGGAAAGTCCCAGATCCTCGCGTCATAGCTCCCTAACGGAACGAGATTCGCTAACTTCCATCAAAGATCTGCATACATGTGAAAAGGGTGAAGCTGATGATGATGATCGTTTGAGTAGGAGTGACCAAAACGCGGCGAACCAAACCCTGTTGGTTAGCGATAGTGAAGAACAGTCGGAAAACACATCCGAATCGGACAGTAGCGATGACCCTAGCACCGTATACAAATTTCAGCGTCGACGCAGTCGGGCCGTTCTGTATCAACTTTCCGGGAGATTTGACCAAAAGTCCAAACGAAAAACACCTCTGAAGCGGGTAAGCCCCCACCCATATTGTCACCGACAACCTCATCTTTTTTTGTTGGCACAATTCGCATGCTGGTTTTCAATCCTTTCCGCCTGAATGCGTTTGTGTTTCGTGTGCGAAACAGTCACGTTTTCAATAATTCAATACCGTCTCTCTCTTGCACGTGTGAACCGAGTCACATTCTCATGAAACGCCTACGTGCGCCTACGTGGCTGGTTCAGATAAAAGATAAATCACCTGCGAAAAATTAATGCTACCGTACATGTGAAAATGCGGTTGCATAATTTTAGTTAATCAATCAGATTGGAGTATGGGTTACCTAATGAAATTTTCCGTTTGTTTGGAATAGGGGGAAAGAATTTCCGTCAAAGCATCTTTTTTTAATTTGGCTAAATAACAGGTTGAGTTATAAATTTTATGTGAAATGACCACCCTTCAACTTCATCGACAATCCAGTGGTGATCTTGTTAACTGGACTCACAACATGAACTAAGAACTGAGCACAAACACGAATTCTGAAGCACACTCGATTCACAACAACAACAACAATATCACTTGCCTCTCCCCCCCCCCCNNNAACGCAAATCACAAGTAATTGCACGTTAGATGAAGTTAGTGATACAGTGGACAATTTTTTACCATTGCCTAATGTGGAATAGAATGGCACATGACATGTGGGTCACCCTGAGAACAACGTGATCGTCTGCAAAGGTGCATAGTTTTGTTTTTTGCATACCAGAATCATATGAAATGTGAGTGGAAAAACCAAGATATTGTGCAGGAAATTCTCGAGGAGCTCTGGATATGATATTTGAACAGAAATAATCAAAATGCCTTCAATTTAAATGAAATCTCAACGAAATACCTTCTAGCAGCTGTTTTAATGCATAGAAAATCAGGCTTAATTCGCATGCAATACGCAGGGGTTTAGTCTCTTACGTCAGAGGCAAAAACTGAACTGGATAGACGAACGTTTTATTTGCTTCATGAAAAGGGTTTACTCGTGGGAAAAAAAACATTGGTCCTAATCGACGGTCATGAACTTTTATTACACTCAGAAAGATGCATGAAGCTGCGGTTAAAATAATTTGTCTTTCAACATATCAACAGGGTGGTGACTTAAAAATAATAATGCAAACGTTTGACGTTTATCCAATTACCAATTCCATTAAGCCGATTTCCAGAACTATTTGGGCATTGATCATGTGCGAATTGAAAGAGCAGGAAAGACAGAATCAATGACATATCCTGACTTTTTCAATCACTCGAATAGCAGAGGAACTCAGAACAATCATCTCTCAGTTAGAAGTCGTAAAGTGGAGAAAACATGCTAAAGACATTCACATTTAAAAGAACAAGAATGCAAAACCTGTTTTCCACAAGTTTATCTCTGCTCCACAAAACCAACAGTAATTTGTTTTATTCATTCCTTGAGTTTTTTTATTTGCTTTGCACTGAATGATCTAATTAATTTTACTGACTATACGGATGCATTCATGATCAACAGGAAAGCAAGGTTTGAGTAGCACATCTTTTTTCAAATAGCGTGAGAAATTCCCAATGGGTTTCTAGTTGAATGGCCCTCAATACATACTAGGTTGCACCAAGAACAATTTCATGGAGAAAACAAACAGTTCAAGTGATCACACAATGTTGTGTTGTACCAAATGAATCAGACAGATGAAATCTTTCAAAATACGCAACCTTCAAAACTGTAAACCAAATCACTCAGCGAAACAATACGGAATTCCTTTTAATAAAAAATAACCTCACGATGGATGACAAGAAATGAAGAAATAAATTTTGTCGTTTGAATATACTAATTCAGTGTTTATTTTATGGGTCCGCTTTTAGAATACTGGCAAACCAGAGAACATTCTCTGTAATTGTTTTGGTTCAACCAAGCTGTTTTTGGAGATGCAAAGTTTAGCAGACACCTGGAAGACAGTGCTAGTCATAGATTTAATATTTGCGGCGGGCTGTGCGACTGCTGAAAGCTGCATTTATTTCACAAATAAAGAGGTTGAGCTAAAACAATTATGTGAAATATGATTAATACTATAGTTGGCTCCATACAAATAATGTCACAAACTCTCTGAATAGCTATATAATTCGGAGTTTAGTTACTATCAAAAGAGCATTGCTCATGTGGTCGATGATGTCCGGAATCGCTCAGAACCCCAATGACATTTTCTTGAACTTCGATGTTAATTACTAATTCTCGGGAATGCGCGATACAACTAGACAGTTCACTTCTAACCCTAAATCGGAATGCAAAACCAACTTGAGCGCTTCGCAGTACACATCTACTTTATTCAGTACCCCTCGGTATGGACATGTCTTCCTAAATAACTGATTGACAAAGCACAAAACCTCAAGATGAGTACTACTTTCTCACATACAGCTCTAAGTTAAGTACATGTTACTCACTTTATCGGTTACTAACATACCCAAGCTAATCAAGTTTAGTATAATGATGATATAACTTATTATCTTTTGGAAAAACTAACCGATTCAAAACCGCGACTCTTGAAAAATTGCCTCTGTGGGTGTCGACGGATGTCAAATCAACCCCAGGAAAACGGTGAAAACATGTGAATAGAAACAAAACATACCGACTTTCAGTGTTCATGTGTATAATGAGAGTTAATCACGAGAGATCGCTAATGTACGCAAATAGAGGACATGAGGACAGAAGGACACCTAGAAGTAATCCTGATCCATTAGCTCTGGGACGGAAACTGATTAGAGCACACTTTGTGTATTCCTCCCTGGTCAAAAAGCGATTTGACACTCATGCGAATTCAGTGGCTCAGCCAACGAAAATAGGTCTGGTCGAGGAAGAAGTAAAAGACAGATTTTGCAGAAGAATTTAGGAAGTTAGTTGTAAAATAGACTACCGAAGCAGAAGTAGTAGTAATAGTATTAGTAGCAGTTCATCTGGTGTATAAGCCAATTTGATGAATTCATTCGAAAAACTGACAGAAGACTGCATTAGTTTTGCAACGACACGTTCTGAAGACCACGTTATGTGTGACTGATGGGACAATCCTAATCGGTTTCATGGAAGAATGAGAAGGTAAACTATTGCAGTTCATCACGATGACTTTCTCTAGCATGAGAAGAAAGTTGTTCGTACATTGATATAGATTCGAACCAGCACTGGTTTGAAATCATGAATTTTAATGATATTCCGACTTTTATTTTATGTCTATTCATATAAAGTTGTATTAGCTGTTGTTTTATTAGCTGATGTATAATGTTGCTGATTTCCTCACACTTGGATAACACCGGAACTTGTCGCGGTTCCAAAATGAGTTCACCCTGTTGTGTGAGAGGGCGAACGTAACATCTAAGACATTGGTAGAATCTAAATTGTAACAGAACACTAGAGAACTACGTAGCTTATCATGCGAATTTTCCAACAGTAGGGTCTTGATCAAAACACAATGCAACGTCATTTTGCAATTTTGTAGACTGAAAATTCTGAATGACTGAGTTACGATAGATCAGTACTGGCATCGTGCTCTTGTTCAGATAGATTTTCAAGTCTGATGCACCCGGTTGCTGAATACACAATCCGTTTCTGTTTTGGACAACTAACTATTAGAAACAGGGTAAATCGGACTGCATCTGGCACGGAATGTTTAATACGTAAAACTTAGAAGTGTATTTCCTATTAATAAATGAACTTTTGTGGATTAAATGAGCGACCAACTGAATGTAACCCTACTAAGATAATACCTCGTTTTGCTTGGTTAACAGACCCTTAAATGACTTCGAAACAGATTCCGAGTTCCACTTCAGATTGCGTGATTTTCACCTCAATTTTCGCTTCATGAACGCTGACTCCGCAATTTCTCCTTTTGTAGTATACCGGTCTTTTTAATATGAATAACCGTTTTCCCTATGAACCCCAGTTATTTTGCAAAATGGAACTGTCTACTTAAGCATGTGGGACAACGGGATGAATCGTTTATTGAATCCTTCAGGATTTTTATCCTCCTCCATTTTGTGCATCCATCCTACGAGGCGTATCAGACCAACCATCAGTGACAAGTGATCACAATGTCCCCATTGCCCATCGAAACGAGATTTTATCTTTTTTTTTATTTTGTGTCATTCTGGTCAGCTGAAATTGAAATTTATTTGCTGGCGAAAAGGAAAAGACATTTAATCTTGATCGTTGATCACTCAGTTGCCTCGCAGAGAGAAAGAGAGTAATTGAAGGTCTAGCGAGGCTTTCGACACACACACACACAGGTTTGGTGAACCGCACTCGTGATTCTGATTCAAATATTGTGTCATACATGTTTTGTTTTACTCTATCGGTACACGATTTGGACAAAGAAGTCGACCGATAATATCAGTAGAACTCTATATGAATACATACATGTGTGCTTGTGTTGCAAACTAACCAATGCAGTTTTCATTGTGCCTCGTTGCGCATGCTTAAACGATCTCAAAGTGCCCTCGAATAGAATTCTCAATCCATACTCTCCTCTGAACTTTTAGTAGGAACCGGGTTCTACGTGGTTGGCAGTCACTGTTGTAAACCTGCTCGATAGCTAGAAACACCAAAGAGCTGAATACACTGTTTTGATTTATGGATACTTGAAACTGTAGTATCTTTTGTTCAAAACCCGCTGTGTTACCTCATGGTGATCATTTATTCGTTGGGTTTTTTTAAGAACAATGCAGGGATGTAGAGAAATTTTTTTGTGGTAGCAAGCTCGGATTAGGCTATTCCTTGTTAAGAGGCATTGCCGACGAGTCCCAAATAGGACGAAACAGCTCCCCAGTGCTCTTTGTCGGTTATCACAAACATTTACATCCCATGTGAATTTCCTGTTTATTTCGTTTCGTAAAATAGTTACTCGACGAGCGTTGATAAATTAACTGTTTTTTCTTGTCAATATCGATGCGCCAGTTTAGCGTGATGTTCTCCGAGCTCTAATTTTTATGCTAATAACCTACATAATTATCTTCATTGACATGAGGCCTCATGTTTGAAACTAACTGGCTCAAAGAGAGTAGAATTCACAGATTTTTCATTAGCCCTATTAATACCGAATTCCAGCCGCACAGTATCCTTAGTGGCCCGTAACCCGATACAGGAAATCAGAGCACACAAGAGAGCCAGCTGATCGGACACGGGTTAACGATTTAACGAATGATCGTGAGAATGCATCATTCAATTAAACGATAACCTAAAACTAGGTCAAGTTGGTGCACGGACAAAACGGACTGGGGGGAGGGGTATTAGTCAGTGTCTGCCATGAAAAACTGTGTCACGTGATTGGACTAGTAATGGGAACTGATAGACGAATGCGTACATAACAAGGCATAGGTATTCCTGTGTGTCAATGCGTACTAAGTAGCAGCGGATTGGCGGAACCGAATCACGCTACCTCACTGTCCCCGTTTTCGGTTCCGTTACCCTTCCACCGAACAGTTTCAGCGAATCTCCGGCAAAGAGGCAATTCCCGAGTACAAAGTTCAAGATGTTCAGGCATCACGCTTCATTCTGCTGCATTACAGTCTATTCAAAATTGTCTGGGACTGGATGATTCTCATCTGCACTTTCTACATTGCAATCATGGTCCCGTACAATGCGGCTTTCTCGCTGGATACAGATGGCAAAGATTTGCTAATTTGTGATATCATTGTCGAGCTACTGTTCATCATCGGTACGTCAGTCGTTCGCGGATTTTGACTTGTTTCATATTATCATTGATCTTGTTTGGTTTTTGGAGTAGGAAGGGAAACCAATCTCCTTCATTTGCATTCTCCAACTTGTTGCAGATGCAACATCGCAGTTGGCAAGCACGTTGTTCCCATTGTTACCTACTTGTTTTTTATGAGCAACGTCTAACACACTTTTGTCGGTTAACACATGTAAAGTTTACTTCACTGGAACAAATCTCATTCGAATCTATTCAACCGGCTGTAACTGCGATTATTATTCCGAAAGTGTAGTGAGACGCAATCCGGCTACCAGGTTCACGTTAACAGGACTTCGTCACTCTTCGATCCCATTCAGTTCGTTTTCTAAAACAAGTGGAAGAGTACAGGAAAGCACATTTTAAGTTAGCGGAAGAATCACTTGATAATCTCGAGATCCTTAAAACAAGGATATGCATTTTCTAGTATTGATTGGAGAGTAATACAAACATTGTAGAACTGTGATCGGATGATCATTAAAGATTCACTGGATAACAGGTCATTGAAAGCCACAACTCGATTCAATGATGCACCAGTGTTAGACAGAGTAATGACTTGTGTAGCGAAAATATCCTGGAAGTCAACATATGGCCTCAATTGTCCATATGAATCCTCAGGGTAGTTTTTTCAAGTAAAAGTCATCACGGCAAAACCCCGAAAACGCTTCGCAATAATCCGAAGTCCTTAGTATTCAGGGTGGCTGTCTAGGGTTGCGGCTGGTCACTCTTCTCTTGCACCTCGCGAAATGCTCCCATACAACCAAAAGTCCCAGCTTAGCTTCTGTTTAGGAAGCCCTATTCACTGCCTTCTCGTGGCAGAGGTGATTTCCCACCAAAGTGAGAAGACGAAGAGCTGACAACCGGGGGTGTAGGCGGGTTGGTGGATCACTGGTAGTTCACCAGGGGGAGTTGACCAAAAACCCTGATTCCAAACCAACCAAGAGGAGGCACATGAACTACACCCATACCTTACCGGTTTTGACAACGTTCACCAGCTCCATTGGGCATTGAGGTGTATTGGGCACCTTGGACGTTTGATCGCCTCCGAAGGGCGTATGATCCGATGAACTGAACACCGACCCTCAATGGACTGCGATTTTGGTAAACCGCCCCACTGCCTTGCGGGTGAGGCTTTGGCTAGCCGAAGGCTCCGGTTGCGGATTCCTTAAGAAGGGTCCTCTTGGCCTTGGCCTGGGCAACCTGGCAGTATTCAGCCCAGATACCAATCTTGCAACGTTTTTCTTTTCTAAAGATTACTGTACCATGATTTGTTTGGCATACATGCTAGCCTCAGACGAGTGTGAAATATAACACCATAATAACTAAGTCGATCCTTCCCCTGATCCACATAACAAACTACAACCCTGATGGTCTTATGGCACCAATGCGCCCATTCAAGTCATGTGTTACTGATGTTATGTATAATGTTATCGGCCATTTGTTATTCTCTGGTTCCGGTCAAACTGTTTGAATTCCCACACAATCATTATTGGAGTACACAACAAGAAAAAAGTGTAAAAGCATGAAAACGAAAGTTTGATTGCTATGTTTTCACCCAGTAAATACGGCAGCCGTGAAATTACCGGTTCACTGAAATCGCGATTATTATCATTTGAAAATATTTATATGAGATGCAACAGGTTACCAACAGTAGATTGACCTACCTAAAAACTCACTTGCATAATAAAGTATATAAATTGTTATTCCATGGAAAAATCAATTTATGTGATCTCGGTAAGGTTTAAGCTAGAAAACTTCCTGATCTACCTTTGACTTTCTTCTCACACTACACGCTCTTTTTCTCTCACAGATATTATTTTGAACTTTGTGACCACATTTGTGAGCAAAAGCGGTCAAGTGGTCTATCATACTCGCGCTATCGCCATCAATTATTTGCGAGGCTGGTTCTTCCTCGACTTGGTTGCCGCGATCCCGTTCGATGTGATTTTGGCAGTACATAATCGTGATATAAACGGATCTATCGGTGGTGTGGTAAGTTTAACCGATTGAGTTAATTCATGCCGCATTACATTTCAACGCCAGATGGGATTCGATAGCCTTAAAGTATTTCAAACTTTGGACATCGAAATTACAGCAAGCAACCCAAAATGTTAACTCCATTTGAAAGTACCGTTCCTATTGAGAATTTTTCAAATCGGTCTATTTTCAGGTGGGCAAGCCTACTGAAGAACTTTTCCTCCAAAATGAAAGGAATTAATGCAGTTTTTGAAGCCCAGTTAGGATTAGAATTCCAAATAATGATTCTTCATCGGTTGACGTTATGATTGTTGCATGTCATTAAGTATCGCCCGGCACCCGGTAGTGACATTTCTGTTGAGTATCTACCTAACGGTATTAATCAATCTCAACGCCGAATGAAATGGGACAAGCTGAGAACATGTGCTGCAGGTCGACCAAAAAATCAATAGTTCACGTGAGTCTAGTGAGAAAGAAGCGTGGTGATGCAGGCAGGTGTACCACACACATTATTCAGTCGTTTCCGTCAGAAAGGTGCATGAGGAACAGTGTATCCTCAGGATAAGTCATCGCATGTCAAATAAGTGGTCGTCGATCGATATTTGGATCAAATAATTGCACAATTTAGGTAGAGGACTAAATTTGTTTGTTTATTTTCTTTCTGCGTCTTATCTTCGTGACGTGTAATAAGCAACCATTTGCTTTTCATCACATGCATCAATGATTGCATCGACTTAAATTTGTTACCTTATTGCTTCTACCCACGAGACACGAACGAGTGCATGAAGTGTTTGACATATGGATCACATGTACCAGACGGTCGTAACAAAGTGACTACAGCGGTGAGATGTGAGCTAAAAGGTAAATCAGACTGATTCTACTGATCTACGTCAACAATTCTTCAAACCATGTGTGTGTGAACAATATATGCGGCGCTGTTCACGATCGTAAATAATGAATGCTGTCCACGTCGTCCATAGTTGATGCTGCACGAGACTGTATTAGCCAAAGGACCGAGCCAGATGAGAAACAACCTAGTAATAAAGTGGGGAAAAACTATCCACAGCTTATCACATCGCATTTTCCATAGTTTATTCTTGTCCTTGTTCGTGTCTGGCTACGTTCATGAATGGATTATCTTCCAACGCTCGGTGATATGATACAATGGACTGGGGAGATTTTCCAGAACGATCTCAATCGATCATGAACAAACTATTTCGACTTAACTGTTTATTAGGAACAGCGACCTAGAGAGGCATAGAGAGATATAGACACCTAGTCAAAAACGAGTTTCAGACTACTCTTTCTTTCAAAGGAAATAAGCCGGTGGCGCTTTTCCCGAAAAACGTCTGGAAAATATGGTCTCCGATTCCATTCTCCTCCACTGATGTTAACAAAACATGCCATTCATAGGGATGTGCAAAGAACAAACATTTGCAAACACACGTGACGTCATGTAATCACCCCAACACAACCCGTTCGGTGCCCCGTTTCTCTATTTAATCTTTTACAAATTGAGTTCAGAATTTCCCTATCTTGACGGGATCAACAATATTTATCTCTATTCGAAACAGAAATACGTAGACAAATAAACAATGCTTGCATATAACTTTTGAAAAAACATGTTGTTATCTGATTTTCCCGTCTTTCCATTTGTCAGGCATACGAATCCGGTAATCTTTTGTCCAATCAGTCATAAACTTGCACATAGGATTCAGTTGCGACCTATATATACATACATATAGGGGGAATGAAGCGAGAAAGTGTATCATATTCGAATAACTTTTTAGACTCGGTAAGAAGTGATTGGCTGAATGACGTCATAATAAGAAGTGTATATATATATATATCCATTGAAAGGGAAACATTGAGATTTCGCTTGCTTGTACGCTGGCTAAGTCGGATGTTTCTAACTGATCTTTCTGCTTTGATCACTGGACTGTTCGTATTCGTAACTGGAACAAGATCATATGATTTACGCTTTAGTCAAAATTTAGCACGTCATTTTTTATTGGGGTCAAAATTAGAGATTTTCCTGCCCCGTTGAGGATTTTTGTTCACCAGGTTTTATATTACATGACAAAACATGTGTTCCCGTGTGGGTAAAACACAATACAGTTTCGCATGCTCAGGTTACAAGGTGTCAGTCTGGGGTAATGTCACGCACCAAATTTTGTGTAACCCTCCCTCTGTGTGTGTGTCGGGCAATGCGTACATTCGGGCCGGGGGGGGGGTTACCCACTAGAACATAGCACCCACGGGGTTTCATTGTTATCCTAACCTCAACCAGCTTAAGGCAACTGTTAGTTGTTGTAAAATTAGTTTTAGCCATTTCTTATCCTGGTTTTGCGAAGCTGTCATTCATTGAAAAAGGTCAACAGATTTTGGAGATGTTCTAGGAAGGAAGTCAACCACAGCGCCATCACCTTGTGACGGAGAGTTCATAAACCACCATTATATTTTCGCCTTCCGTGTGATGAACGGTAAACTGCTAATCATTGCATTTTTCTTTCACCTATTGTCGTGTAATAGTAAGTATACACAAACTGTGATCCAAATACTTTTACAATCTTGCTCGTGATCGATTCACTTGTGTACTGCATTAGCTGATGCACCTCAAAATGGGCTTGAGTATACTCCACCTGATCTCGCAATCCAAACAAAAAGCTCGCATAGTTACCAAGTTATAATAATCTCATTTTCATTTAAAATCCCCATCATGCATATTGACAGAACAACAAGAGTAGCGAACAAGGTCGTTTACGATAGCCAAAAGTAAATCGGCATACGTCTCCCGTTGAAATGTGACTACAAATGTGATTGCTAACAAGCCCACTTGAATATTTCCTGCGGACAGTTTACGTACACAATTCACTATCTGATCTTCACTTTCTCCATGTTGACCTATATTTTTATCATGCTCGGCATGCAGTTTTCTCCAAGAATCAAGGAAAACAAAGCAGNTTGGTTAAACACGGGAACTACAAAAGCCATCGCGAATGAAACTAAGGCGCACCTTGCAGTTACCGATCAATGAAGATGCGTTGAAAATCATCTACAAAGTACCCCCAAACCCCTCGAAAACTCTCCGACAGCAGACGCAGTAGTAATAAAGTTATTGCGATCAGCCTTATGATAGAAAAGAAAACAATTTATTGAAGCCCAATAGCTATCCTGGCCCGGACAAAGTAACTCAATTCACCCATGACCCTTCTCGTGACCCTTTTACCTGTGACCCCGCCCATCCTGTTTCATCCCTCTTTCCCTTCCGTTCTTTCATGCTTTCCAAATTCCCTGTTGTAAACCACCGATTAATTATTTTTAGTTTTACGTCTTTCGCAATCACACCTCACCACATCCATACCTTCCAATCAACGCAATCTCATTCTGACACCATTCACTGCACATTTGTTCACTTCATATTTATGTAGGCTGTATTAGCCAGAGGAAAAAGTTATCGAAGCCCAGCTTTTTCGCCCCCAGTGTTATTTTGCCCATCTTATTTTCTTTCTTTAGGTCGTTATAATTACAGGTTAGAACATACTTTTATTACACGGATATAATCTAAGACTCATGAACCGTTGCTTTTCATTGTGCACAAACATATCACCTATGGTTAGTTCGCTTGAGCAAAAACCGATCAGTATCTATCTATGCGAAATGCTATAAAAGTCCTCTATTGGATTCCGTCCCGGCCGGATTAAACCCAACGTGTTGAACCTCACAGGAGAAACTCACATGTTGAACCATTTCACGAGTGTGAATTAACATTATCATCATGCTCCATTCCGTTCCAGGGTAGCTGGATACAACTGCTCAAACTGGCCCGACTGCTACGATTGGCTCGGCTGTTTCAGAAAATCGAACGCTATTCACAGTACAGCACGGTGATTCTGGGCCTGTTGATGTGCATGTTCTTTCTCATCGCGCACTGGTTCGCCTGTGGCTGGTTTTGGATTGGCTGGGCAGACTACGAATCATCCAAAACTCGGGAATACAGTAAGTAGTTGTGGTTCCCTGGTTGTTTTTCGATCCCTCGCGCGCACATATTTAGTTTTCTTTTTCATCGAATTGTGTCTCTGCAGTTGTTAGCATTGTTCTCATTTTTTTGTGATTATTTTTCAAACATTGGAAAATATTTTACCGACCGATTATTCCAATAGGCTGCGACGAATGTGAGGTTAGGGGCTAGCAATGCCATTGAACGGGACAGTATGTTAATAGCAATTTATTCGTCAGACCAACATGCCAGGATTCGCTCCCTCTCAACAAAACTGTTTAAGCCCCATCCATGTGATTTGTAAAACTGAATAAATATGTGATCCTGTTTCATCATTCATAACTGTCTTTTTTTTAGGATAATAGTTCCCAATTGGAGAATTAACTTTACATATTCGTTATGTCTAAAGTACGTTGATAATAATTTCCTTAGATTCCTCAGTCAGATTAAACACTGACAATTCGCGATAGAAACAATAGTTAAACGATCTTTGTCCTACTAGGATATCTATCTATCTATCTATCTATCTATCTATCTATCTATCTATCTATCTATCTATCTATGTCTATCTATCTATCTATCTATCTATCTATCTATCTATCTATCTATCTATCTATCTATCTCTGTATCTATCTATCTATCTATCTATCTATCTATCTATCTATCTATCTATCTATCTATCTTTAATCTATCTATCTATCTATCTATCTATCTATCTATCTATCTATCTATCTATCTATCTGTCCGTCTGTCTGCCTGTCTGTCTGTCTATCTATTTATCTATCTATCTGTCTATCTACGGAAGCACAATAAGAACAACATGGACGATTGTGCTGCGTCATTCATGTGATTTTGTCTGCCCGTGCCGAGATCTTGTTGCTAGCTCGTTTCTGAACCAACCACCTTGCTGCCATCTGCATCATCATGATCACGGGACAGAAGTGCCGCGATAACGNCGGGGGGGGGGCGGGGGGGGTAAGGATGATCGGAAGACTAATTACGCCATAAACGGTACATTTTCAACATTAGCTGTAAATCATGCGCTGCCCCCTCCCCCTCCCCTCGCACTCTAGCCACCTAGAGTTATTGGCAAACCCACCAAGTTGTATAAAATCGTTACGTGTTTTAGCAAACCCGGTTCAAAATGAATTAACCTATCGAAGAAACGTTTACACATACAAATTCTGCATCACGTAATACAACTAAGAGATTAGAAAACCAATTGAGAGAAATTCAATATGTTCCGAGTATGTTCTGTCTCCCTGGTTCGTGTAAATCAACCGTTTTACCGAAAACCGTAGAATTTGCTAGGGTTATTTAATTTTTAAATGAAAAAGATACACCTAGTCACATATAATGTTTCGGGACATCAAATCATTTTTTACAGTAGCACTTTATTTAGAAATCTTTAGATGATTCCCAAAAGTCCGTTGATTGTGCTTTCCTTGACTGTTCTTCCGCGTTCGATTCCGTTCTACGATCTGTTCTTCTGCGAAAGTGACAGTTATTCGGTCACCCCACCAAATTGTTGTCATCGTTGAAAAATTATTTCACGGGAAGGATTCAAAGAACGAATACAAAATGCGCTATTTCAAACCGCTAGTGAATAATTCTGGAATCCTTCAGAGTTCTGTGCTCTATCCCTACTTATTTTCAACTTTCATCAATGACTTACCCTCAACCCCACCAGCCAAGACCTTTATATACGTTGATACTGTGGTCTTATGTCAAGCGATTTCAAACCAATCTGACATAGAATAATTTTTCCGACAGTTTATTACAAGTGCAGTCATTCTCGAACCAATTTTGTCTCCGTTTGAATACTTATAAATGCTCCGAATGCATTATTCGTCTTTCCCGATCCCAATATTCCTTGGAAACCGCAGTCATCAGTTCCGTAGCCATCACCAGAACACATGCTACCAAATGCCTAGGTTTCACCGTAGATAGCAATCTACCGTGGTCCTCTCATGTGCTAGCCTGTCTTTGTAGGCTGCGTCGCTTATCTTTTCAAATACGCAATCTAGGACAATTTAGACTGAAGCATGAAACTATATGTTCTTTGTTTATCAATGTATTTTTCCTGTCATACTTTATTGTTTGCGCGTTGTTTTCCCTGGACTACTTAGAAAAGGGTTTCATTACTCTTCGTCGCGGTTCAGTCATTATGAGCCGTGTTTCTCTCGTTCCCTTAAATACTCTAACCACAAAATTGTGTGATTGTTATACTACTTTATGTGATAATTTCGCCCATAAAGCACTCAACGACCCCGGTCATCCACTCAATCTCGATTTATTTGTTTGACGTTCCCAAGCTACAACTCGATCCAATTTTCGCTGCTTGCTCTCCCGCATAAACAATAATCGCAGCTCAACGGTTCCATGTGCGGCTCATACTCTCACTGGTTCGTAACGACCTAATTTTAAACCTACCAATATGAAAACCTGTTTAAGTTTTATCATTGCTGTAGATGAATTTTCAATTCAGTTTTTTATCCCATTGTAACGGTGAACATATTATTTGTGACTGAAGCGTAGGCACAGTTGCCTGCACAAGTCATCTATAATAATGCAATACAAGTTAATTTTGGGAAGCCTAATCTGCCTACCGATACCATTGATCGTTGACCAAGCTAAACCGTTTCGTTTGCGAGCACTGGAGCACATCGCACCGAGAGCGAACATTGTCTACAGATAGAGAATGAGAACCGAAATGGGAACAACTGGTCTGAGGCAAATCTTCCTTTCCTTTTTTCTTTTCCTTTTTCTGTTTACTTCCTTTTATTGAATATGCAATGGTACAATTTTCAGGATAGGGGAAAGCGGCCAATCAAAGGGCTGCCATTCAACACATAATGGGGGGAAATCAGGCAGTGGTGGTGGGATACGAACTCACATCCACGAGGTGATAATTTTGGTGACGTTACCACCGGGCCACCACCGCCCGACAAAGGTAAAGTGATGATCACATTTAATGATTCATTTTGATCGGAAACATGATACTGCTAGTAACAGCCATTCTGATCTTTCGCATTAGGTATCCAGAGCTGATCACACTAATATGTACAGTTTTTTCAAATTTTATGCGAAATAGCAAAAACAGACATTGGCGCCATTGTGCGTTGGATGTATGTTTGGGCAACATTGAGTGTTAGATAACGAATCTAAGACACAGCTTACCTGCAGTTATGTCCCAAGCACTAATGAA